AGAGTTGGTGGAGAAGGTGTTGGAAGTGAGGCAGAGAAGCAATGGGGTAATTGTGGTGGTGATGGTGTTTGAAAAAGTAATAGTGAGGGTGATATCAGGATATGCTCCGCAACAAAGTAGGAAGGAAGAGGAGAAGGATAGGTTTTATGATGATGTTTCTGACGAGATTGGGCAAGCGGGGTTGAATGAGTTTGTGGTGTTGTTGGGTGATTTGAATGGTCATGTGGGGGCGGATGCAGACGGATATGAAGGTGTACATGGGGGATGGGGATATGGTATACGGAATGAGGAAGGGCGTAGAGTGTTGGAGTTAGCGGATGCACACAGCATGGTGGTGGGGAACACTTGGTTCACAAGGGAACCAGCGCGATTGATTACTTATAGGTCAGGGGAACATAGATCGATGATCGACTATATATTGGTAAGGGCCAAACATAGGAAGTATGTGAAGAATGTGAAGGCGATACCTGGTATGTTGCAGCATAGTATGGTTGTAATGGATGCGACATCAAAAGAAATGGGGAGGAGGAAGAAGGATAAGTTTGTGGCAAAGAGAAAGACATGGAAGTTGCAGGATGCAGAGGTGAGGAAGGCATTTGAAGTGAAGGTGGCTGAAAATTGGGAGAGTGGTAAGGATGTAGATGTTTGGGAGAGATACAGGGACTGTGTGTTGGCTACGGCAGATAAAGTATGTGGATGGACGAAAGGAAAGTGTAGGCATGGTGAGACGTGGTGGTGGGATGAAGATATAAGATGGGTTTTGGAAGTCAAGAAGGAGAGGTTTAGGGTATGGAGAAGGGACATGACGGAGGAAGCGGAGTCTGAGTATAGGAAGGCTAAGAAGGTTGCAAAACAGGCAGTGGCAACTGCAATGACGAAAGCATCAGATAGGTTAATGAAGGAAATGGAATCTGATGTGAGTTCGAGGAAAATGTTCAAAGTAGCAAAGCAGTCAATGAGGGATAGGAAAGATGTTATAGGGAATGGATGTGTCTGGGATGGATCTGGCAAGTTGTGCATAGATGAGGA